CTGTTGTGAATCTCTGTCTTGTCTTCAGACCAGAACAACTCAAGCCAGTTTTAGTGCTTTGTTGGGCCATTTTTTCTGTTGATGTTAAAATGGCTCAGCACAGTGTCTAATGACCACTAGGGTTTGCACAGGGGAAGCACCAAGAGTGCACAACATGCAGCTAGAAGGGGGGGTGGGCTGAAACCACTCCTTAGTCTCTCTTTGGAACTTCTTGCCGTTACAGCACTGTTCAAGAAGGCTAATAAGTAAACATGTTACAGGACTTTCTGCTTGTGATTTAGTTTTCAAAATCAGTCAGAGCTTCAGGATGTATCTCCTTGTCTGTCTTCCCAGACAGCAGAGCAATCACACTGAAAGGATTTTCCCCCTAACACTGTTTTACTAGAATAGAAAAACTTAAACTGAAGTAGCTTCTAAAATAGAAAACACTGAGCTTTTTGCTGAGCACTAATAAAAATACAGAGCATGAATACCAATTCCTGCTGCCCACTGTATCCTAATAGGGTGAGCCATTACTTTCAGTATATGTCTCAGCTGCTTTTCTGCAGCAACCTCTGTAAAGCTCCTCTGTCTCCAGGATAACCTCCCTCCTGTGGCTCTGGGCCACTCTTGTCCTCTTCCCAATCAGGTCTCTGCCTCCTCATCTTTCATCTCCTACACCCCATGAACTATCCCCTCCTGGCTTCCTTGCAGACCAATGGTCCCTTGTGGATCCCATGGAGAGCACCATTCTCCTGTCCTTCCAGAAGATGTCACATGACCCCATCCATGTGTGGCAGCTAGAAGATGAAGTACCGGGAACTTTCCTGTCCAACCAAAACCAATCCATAATATGCAGCATATACAGCACAGGCAAATAAAAGAAAAAGATTCCATCCTGGTAGAGACTGACCTTCTAGAGGAAAAAAAAAAAGGAAAACTTTGAAACAAAGGTACTGAAGTGCTGATGTGAAGGAAGCATCAACTGTTTGGATGTAGTTCCCCGCTGACATATGATAGCCTGCCAAAGCCGTATTTTTGACAAATGCACAGGAGGCAGTGACTCCATGAACTGTTCAGTTGCTCTAATAACTTGCTGCTGCTGAAATGAAGAAGTCCTGTTTCCACTTCATTCTCCCATCTCTGGTTTGTAGCTGTGTGGCCTTGCACTTTCTCATGTGGTTTCATGCCAACTCCTGCACTCGGTGGACACTCTCTTTAGCCACTTAGCTCACTAGAGCAGTAGAGAAATATAAAACTGTTTATTTTCTGGCTTCATTTCTTGCTATGTGAGTTTGTGAAATAAACTCATGGAGCAATCCTGTCAGTCTCAGTGCCAGGGCGAAGTAAATGACGGAGGAATTAAAAATAAAGAAGAAGTAGAAAACAGTGCTACCCACACATGTTCTAGGAGAAAATCAGCATCCAGCTCAGCTAAGGAGGGGACTGGAGTCTAAGGTGCAAATGATTCCCAAGGTCAATACACTAGGTGACAAAAGAAGGAAGATAAGGAATTTTAAAAATAAAAAAAAATTAAAAATATTTTCTTCATAAGAGAAAGAAGATAGCAGATCTACCACTGTGTTGAAAAAAACCCAACAAACCAACAACAAAAAACCAAGCAAAAAAAACCCAACCAAAAAAACCCTAAACAAAAAACCCAAGAAAAACAAAGTAATGAACAATAACCTTCTATAGGATCAGAAATAGATGCTATGACAAACAAACATAAGAGGATAAAATTCTGAGACTAGTATGTACATTTATCACCAACAGACTTACTAAAGGATGTATTATTTTCGCTGGACGTCTTGGCAACCCTTGAATAAATTGATTTTGCTAACAAGTTGAACTGAATTAAATAATTTAGAATGATCATATAGGAACACTCTTCTGTCATTACCAGTTCTGTGCAGAAGAAATGGAAAGTTAGCAGTAAGTGGCCAAGTGCATAGCATGATATTGATTAATACTCAAAACATCCTTGTCTTCAGGTCTCTGGAGTCAGTAGTATGCTATTATTAAGAACTGTGCATTAATACATATTGCTTATAATATCAACAAATTAAACACGACTGTTTTTGTCTTAAATGGTACTGTATGATGTAGGGTTTATCACTGACAAAGACAGCATTGCACATATTTTGTAATACCAGTTTTATAATAATGCTGATACATTTAGTGCTTCCCTAATGTCATCCAGTGCCAAGCATAGGTGCTGTATACTCCGAATGGTGATACAAAATTATTCTGACAAGTGCTTGTCACAGTGTACTCATCATGTAAAGTATTTCTATATTCAAAGATACTACCATATAAACAGAGCATACTAAGCCCAGCTCCATTCTGGATATGATTCAGTTTGCTGTGAATGACTGCCAAGGCAGACTATATGGCCCATCCCAATTTCAACCTGCCCTAATTCCCTTTATGACTTTATTATTTAGTGCTGCTTTAGTGCTTAGAGAGACCCAAACAGGAAGACTCTGGGCATTCTCTGTTCACGGAGTGGGTGGGATGGAGCTCTTTAGAGAAAACAAAATATGATCCACCTACAGATCATGTTAGGCCAGCTTCCCAATTTCCTCTAAGTAGAACAGAGGCCTTTGTTGCCTTAGTTACTGGAATGATCTACTAGTCAACAGCAGAATCCCAGTCTCCAGACAGAACATCCTTCTGCATTTTTGATGGCAGTATAGGATGGGAAATATCAGCTTTTCTATTTTTTTGTTGTGGTGAAGAGGAAAAAAAGTAGATTAACTCTTTGTAGAAAATAAAACAATTAAAAAAAATAACTCTCGCAAAAAAATTCTGCAAGGTCACTGAATGGAGGCAGCATTGGCTGGGAAAGGATTAGTGCCTCTAACAAAGGAACATTCCTGGGTGCTTTATTTTCTTTTTCTTCCTTAGCAGCAAAAAAAATGAGCACTGAAAACTGCATGCTAAGTTTCAAGGCATAAGTAGACAACAGCAGCTACATTTGTCGAGCCAGACTACTGGAGCCTGTCAAACACTCATAGATGCTCCAGATAAGCTTTAAAATTGTTCTTCTCCTCACCAGAGGTGTAGCTATTGTAGTGCTATCAGCTATTTTTCCCTGGATACAAGCTAGAAAACACAACCCATCTTTTCCCCCTGTGAAACGTGATCAAGTCCAAATTCCTCCCTTGGGTTTTGAAAGCAAGAGCTTCAGTGCAGTGATATTGGGGTGACAACTTACAGTGAAATGAGGGTCCAAAATAATACTTTTTAAGAAAGTAGAAAATCCTAAAAACTTGATGGATTATCTTATTTCCCAGAATGGTGTGATGCGATGTACTGGTTCCATGGTACCTGAAATGCATCTCAGCTTGTGCGACCAGGGGCTCCCTTTCCCTGCTAATTGTCCTTACCCCAGAGTGGTCCCCAAATACAGTTCACTGATAACAATTTTTATGGGATTAAGTTTAGGCCATTTTTAACTCTGTGAGCTGATGGTGGAGCAAGATGAACACCAGCACCAGAACAATGAAGGGCTCAGGAGAGTCTGCTGAGAAGGTGTGACTGAGGTTATGGTGAGTTAAAGGAGCTTGAATGGGAGAGTAATGTCATAGAAATACTAAAGCTAATCTAAATGAACAAGAAAATGTTTTCTACCATTGCTTGCAATCAAGATCTAGTCAGAATGCTGTTGATTTGTGTGATTTTGAGTAAATTTTGAATTTTCATTTAGATTGATATTTTAGAAGTTAATAACTAGAGTTCTGGAAGAACCTGAGATTATCATAAATCAGTGAAGTTGAGAATATTAGCATGCAATTTTAAAGCATTTAAATTTTATTATTTTTTCCCTTATATCATAATACAAGTATAAACTATATATATTAAGAGACTGCCCAACTTTATTTCATCATCAATGCCACTTTACAATACTTGTGCCTTACTCAGTTTAAAGTAAAATATTTTATTGGTATGTCCAGTGACTTTCTGACATCCCTGCTCTACTTCAGCTGAAATTATCTGGCATAGCTCCAAAATTAAGGGTTGATTCAAAGTAAAATGTTTTTCTTAATTTAATTACGTCAGAATTTAAATTGTGGTAAAATCCTTAACAGCAGGATCTACAGTCCATTTCTTTGGCTGACTGCAAGCAGAACTGAACATCTGAGATGAAGGAATTGTTGGGACATTTCATTTTCATTTCTGACTAATCTATCGCAAAGCTTATTATTTGTACTAACACTAAACATCAAGTGTGACTGACAAACATTTGACATGCTCCTTAGCTTCAGATTGAAAGCGTTGAATGTAAACCCCTGTCCTTATTCCCAGTTCTAAAAGTAATTTTCTATACGGATCTAGCATGCATTTGTTTTCACTGTTTCTTTAGTTTTCATTCCTTTGTAAATGAGAGCAGAATTGACAGCTTCTAGAGGTTACTTTCAGTGTAGTCATATTAATTGAACTGTATAAAATTGAGCTGTGATAAGCCCTATTATACAAAATAGAATGTTTTAACGTGAAGAATGCTGGACTGGCCCACACAGCTGAACAAAGGAGCCAACAAAGGACACCTTGGCCTGTTTCTCAAAACACTTAACATTTTATTTTTATGCAGAAGTCAAAACCCGAGCAGTATATTTTATTCTTGTGTGGAAATCTGTGTAAAAGGGAGAAACTCTGCTGGTTTTTGAGCTTCTGACATTTTTGAGGGTAAAAAGGCAGCTGGGGTGTGCAGTGGGCAGGGAAGGTGTGTGCGGGGCTTTCTCAGCTTCCAGAAGTGGGCCAGGCAGTGATGACACATACAAAAAAGAACCGCCAATGCCAAGCAAACGTCCAAAACAGCACGATGCAGAGAAATAAGAAACGGGAGGCTTTCCCCATAGAAGCCCTTAAGCCCGCAGCTCCAGGGGGTGAGGAGGCGAGGCCGCGGGGCCGATCGCTGCGGTGCTGTGGGTGGGCGGTCAGTCGGTCGGTCGGTCCGTCGGTCGGTCCGCGCTGTGCGCACCCGCGGAGCGGAGCGAGGGTAGCGCGTCCGGGCCATGGCCGCGGACAGCGATGCGGGCGGCCCGCGGGACCCCGAGCCGGGCCAGCAGCTCCGCGCCCTCTTCTACGCCCTGCCGCCCGGCGAGAGCTCCTTCCGCTCGGTGGAGGAGGTGCCCGACTACGTGGAGAAGGTAAGAGTCCCCTCCTCTCCCACCCCCGGCAGCGCTCCTCGCTCTCCTCCCCTCCGCCCACCTCCGCCTCTGTAAAAAACCACAGCCGGCCAGGGAAACGATGTCCGATGAAAATTAAGGACCTCGTGTTTCTCTGACGGCTTTCTGCCTATAGGCTGCCAGAGTAACCGTGCCCCTTATCTTAATGTATTTTAAATGAAGGCTCAGATGCTTTCTCCTGATACCAGGAGCTAAAGTTTTCAGAGAAGCACCCCAAATATCTGAGGGTTGATGCTAATGTTATATCCATCAGCACTGACAAGCTGAACAGTGACAGCAAACTGAACTGAGTAAACCGGAAAACATGTTTGGCTGTTACCATTCTTAAAGCAAGCAAAAAAGTCAGGTCTCTTTGAGCGCTTAAGGCGCAAGCTCAGTCAAAGAAAGAAAAATAAAAAGTTTCTATTTAAAATAAAAAATAAAGATTGTTTAAGAGAATTTAGAACAAATATTTGTGCTGGAACAGTGCTGTGTCCTAAAGCTCCAATGCAAGAGTACAGAGGTCAGGGGTGAGAACTCCCTTGTCAGCAGCCAGCAGCATATCTCTCCCTCCGCTCCTGCCCTGCCAGTTTATCCACTTCCAAGAAGGTACCTTTGCTCTGTTCTGTCGTGTCTATTGTACGTATCTTGACACTCAGCTCCTGCTGAACCCAGATTGATGTCAGCTGTTCACAGAAACTGCAGATAAATGCTATTTTGCACTTGACAAAGAAAATTTAGCCCAGCTTCACTGAAGATCTGAACTTTTTACATGGGTCTTCATAGTTCTGACTAGCTTCTCTGCCAGGTGTACCTTGGACTGCTGTGCAACAGCTGCTATCAGGCTGCAATGGGGTGTCATGAGTTTTGCAGTGTTGGGCAGTATAACACCGTCAACAGCTTTCTCGGAATTGTAGTATGCAGCAGCCCCTCACTGATGGAAGTTATCAGCAAAGGTTGCCCTTTTGGATAGGGTAAGCAGACAGCTGCTGCAAGCACAGTATGTGCGTGCAGGTCTGGTCGATGGACTGCTGTTCTCAGAGGTGTTTTGCAACTAATCTATAGCGTCACGGTCAAGGAAGACTCTAGAGCTTGATGGTTTTGCCTTGTCAGCTGATATCTCCCTCCAGCTCTATCTACTATCTCAGTCCCTTTTACTGCTCCCACATTTCCAAAAGACTATCATTCACTTTCTTGTCAGCAGCATTCCTTAACATCCCTGGGCTTTCCTCTCCTGTGTGAAATATTAAGCTCAGATCTTGGCCAAACATGTAATTTCTTATACTGGGCACATAGCTGTAAGTTCATGTAAGGATTCTTAATATTTCTTTGAATTATAAAAGTGCCTGCAGACTTATGCTGTTGTAGAGCACTGTTATGAAAAATTTTTAAAGGAGTATCTCACAAAAAAACTGCACTAAAAATGAGTTTCCCGTTACAGTTATACTTTCGTATAATTCCTATCTTGAGTTAGCTGTACTAGATTTCCCTCCTGGCCAGTGCATTTGTTGCTAGAACAGATGTTTTGAAGCTTGGTCATGTGGGTGTATGAAAGTATTTTAGGGGTATAACTGTTTTAACTCTATGGCTTTGGTTTGAGCTTAGACAGCGTTCATCCTTCCTCTTCTGGCCACATTTGTGGGCAGAAGATAACTATCTACAGTCCCTCTCCAGCTGCTTTTCTTGGACTGTTTAGGGAACAATTGAAAGAGCGGCATATCCATTGGAATAATCAGGAATAGATTTAATAGTGAACTGATGAGCCTTTCAAGGAGGGCTTGGAGTGGTAACTCCTTGAGTTGGTAAAGATGGAGATTAGTACAAGCGGATGTTTGAGATCAACCCTACACAAAAGAAAAAAAACCAATTCTAGTGTAGACCTGATATTAAATGAAGGCTTCAGCTCCAATAATTCACACTTTTTAAAAATAACAATCATGATGATGCATGTGTGAAACAAACTACTGATTACATTTGCGTCTCCTAAATAGTGTGTGGGTTTTTCTTTTCTTTTTTTTCCTGAGACACTGTATAGAAGATGGATTTGCATCTTGGATCTGTGATCTGTCATATATTAGACAGATGAGAGTATTTCTAGTACAGTAGGTCACATGGCTACAGCTGTGGGGGTTTGCACCTTCCAAAATTAGACAGGTGGCAGAACCTCCTAGTTCACTCAAATATTCATGCGTTTAGTGATCTGCAAAACTGAGCGCTTGGGAGGTTTAGGAAGTATATGCACTTTTTCAGAGTGGCTACTTAGAGCTAGAGTTTTGTCTGTGCTGTTATAACTAGGCAGGAAATTACAGCAGTGGGTGAAGCAGATCTGACTTTGAGAACCCAATGGTTTGGTTAGCTTAACTTATGCAGCGTACTTTCTGTCTGTGGTTATATTACTTCCATTTTCAGAGACAAGACAGCTCCTGGTCCCTGCATTGTGCTCGTATGTTGGTAGAGTCGTATGTGAAGGCCCCAAGTCCTGTTTAAAACTTGAGCGGATCAGCTGCTACCAGCGACAAGTAGAAAAGCTCTGCAGCAGCGCCCAGGGAAAAGTCACCCTTTCAACTAATCTTCAAAATTCTTGGAAAAGGGGTCTGAATCTTGGATTATCATAATAGAATGTATTTTTATGTGAGTTTTTGTCACATAAATGTGACAAAATGTGAATGTAGAATTCAAACCCCTTGATTTTCCCTTATTTCTGAGAAGAGAGAGTATATTGATTTTCCTTCTGCAGGGCAGAACATTCTGACTTACATATCTATACTGATGCTTGCCCTTTCCTTTTAAGAGCACCCTTTTTGGTATGGGTATAAGATTAGACTCTGCATGCTCTGTTGATTGTTTTTGGTTGCTTTTTATTTTATTTTTTTTTAATTTTCTCATAATCTACAGATAGGCATAAGGAATGCTGCTTTTTGTTTGCCAAATATAGTTTTCCTGAACCATAAATTCATAATTTTCATAATTTCAACCCCAAAATGAAAGCTTTCAATTTAATAAAATTTTTTTCTTTTCTGTTTACTCTCTTGAGAGCCTAAAGACTAAGTTCACATTTAAACTCAATTCACATTTTAGTGTTTGCTTCTAAATAATGAGGCACAGAACCTTCATATTTAGTTTTACTTGAAAGCTGAGAATCTTATGTTATAAGAATCTGGGACTTTAAGAAAATAGAAACTGTTTCAAGAAAAGCAATAAAACTATGAATGTATGCTGAGTTTCAACTTAGAGTATTATTTTTTTGCAACAGTATAAAGCAGAAACTGATTTAAAATGGTCCTTTGCATTCTGAAGCCCTCTTACTAAGTGCTCAGAGTAAGGCTTTCAAGTTATGGATCAGTCATTCAAGTAAGCCACAAGCTAATGTAAATCTCCGTTGAGTGTTTCTGGTGATGGGAGAAGAAAAAAACCCCCAACAACTGGAAACAGAGAGAGAGTAAAACATAGACCAGAAGATGCCAAAAGTATCTGACCTGTGATGCCAACAGTGGCTATTTCTTAACTTTGTGCCATTTTGTTTGTAGCGACAACCGTTGAAAACTGTTGCAAAGCTACCCATCTCAACAGGTTCTTAAATGTCTTCACTGCCACTTAAATATGAAGCAAAAAAAAAAGTAGTGATTAGGCTGGTGAGAGTATTTTCTCTCTTACTGTATCCTTTTTTCCTGAATTACTTGCAGTATCCTGTTGTATTACATCTCATTCTTACACAGTAGGCTCTTTGGGACAGGGAATGCCTTTTCATTCTGTTTGTGCGGCATCTAACACAGTATGATCCTGCTCCATGACAGTAGATGTTATGGTCACATAAATAATACATACTAGCCTTGACATAGTTCATCCCTTTGATCTGCTTTGGGCAAAGCTTAATGCAGTGTATGGTAGACAGGTAGTCATTTCTTAGATGGTAAGGGGTATACCATAAGTTTTTCCTTTTGCAAGCTCCTTGATGGGCAGGAGGTTAAGACTGTCTGAATGTTTCTTTATCCTCCTTGCTATGACACTACATATTTGTGAGTCAAAAAGTGCTGTCAAATGCTTGGCTGTTTCACAGCTTCACAGTGGGAAGAAAATATTTAATGAAGTCGATGAGAAAGCAGTTATAATAGTGTGTATTAGTATAAAGTCAAGTGTTTTAACTGTTTCAGAGATTGCTGGGTAAAGTGAATCATCACATAGAATACAGACATTGTACATTTCCCATTAACTGTTTTCATTTCATGAAAAAAGCATCTTACTTTTTCTGTCCTGAGCCCACTCCATTTGCTGTGCAGCTTCTGCTGTTTCATACTTCAAGCTGTTTGTAGTCTGTGTTAGACCTGGCTCCTAATACTGTGGTCAAGTGTTTCTTAGTTTTTCTTATTAAATATTTTTTTTTCTCTGATGGAATGTACAGCTGTGGTGATCAGTCTTTTTTGATAAATTAGGAGTCTGTTCTTTGATGATATCAATTAAGAAAAGTACATTAAAAGTTTTTTCTACTCAGAAATGAAGTAGCTATATAGAGCAAAACAAAGAAGTATTTATATTTTCCTAGAATGCTTAATTGATTTCAAATGGAAGGTAATGGAGTTTCTTTTTATTTCTTTCCTTATTACTGATTTCAAATATTGAAAGATTTACCACACTGGTTTTCTTGGGTGTTGTTCAGGCTTTATGCATAGGTCTTCCTTTAGTTTCTGAGTTTTTTATGTCATCAGTTAGTACATACCACAAACAGGCTTTTATATGCCTAAAATGCTGTTACAGAGCAAGCTAGGCACCTAAATTAAAAAGTGTCATGTTGATATTAATCTCTGTTCATCTGTTATTGTAACCTAACCCTGTGCTGCTGAAGTTTATGAACTTTCACATTTCCTAGACGCTATAAATCTCTTGCTGCTTGCATGGTTTGAATCATCCAATTCTTCTTCGACTGAGCAATCTGGTCTATATCCATCTTAGTCTCTTTAGTGTCCCAGCCTGGTAGGAATTCCCAGATCATATCTCACTTGGCAACAAAAAATGAGCACCCTCCAAAATGCAATGGCATTTGCACAGGCAACATGCTTCTTCCATTAAAATGTTGTATAGGCAGTAGCAGCCTCTCTCCTACAGCAGTGCAGTTTGGAGGGTTTCAGTCAGTGAAGCTGTATGTGTTTGCAGGTCATTCGAAGAGGGCAAAAGCAGCAGAAGAGTAACAGCTCAAGTTTGGCAGTGTGGTGCCTCCCACAGAGGTGCAGAATGTCTCACTGGTCTTGCCCTGCAAAACATGGTGGGAATTTTTTGCCTTAATATAGTGAAAAAGCAATTGTCTGAACATTTCAAAGGTCACCTAAGAACTTCCTACAGAGCGAGGGATGCAGTTGAAGGAACATTCGCAGACACAGAGATCTGATAACTCCTTTCCATTTTCTTTGCCACAGGCCTTCTAGATTTTGGTGGCAGTGGCTAATATGCTGCCACTGCCTTGTCATTCCTTCCACACATGAAGTACAAGGAGTGTTAGGACTCCATTGTTAGTAAAAAAAGTATATGTTCTACCAATTACTGTTACTCAAGGCTTTTTTGTTTTTGTTGCCTGTGATGATGAAAATTTGAGAACAGGTCTAAGAGTCTTTCTCTGCTGGTAAAAAACGATGTCACTAAAATGTTACCAGTGCTACTACTAGTCATAGCCACACTTTTCACTAACGGGTGCTGCTGTTGTGCATTTTCAACTTGCCAGTTGGTTGGGGATGCAAGGTGGACAGTGAGAATTGAATCCTTGACTAAAGGAGTTTTGAATGAGAAACGTTTAAGTCTTGCTCATCATTATACTTTGTTCAGAAAGGCAGAAAATTATTTTATAGTTAGTACAATCCAAAAAATAAAGGGGAACATTGTATTATTGCTACTTGGTCTGGAAAGAAGGCATGTTGTATTGCACAGATTGGAATGGGCTGTATAGTTACTGGGTTCTCAGATGAAAATGCATATGGAAGAGCTGCTGCTGTCTGAAGCAAAAAGCATGGCAACAGAAATGCTGAGTAGAAATAAATTCACTTTACTATTCCTTTCAGATAATAATGTTGGATGCCAACTTCAGAGGCTGGACACATTCAGAAAACTTTGTACATATCAAATAAAAAACAGATTCTGTTCTACCTTGTGGTTAGAGAAATCCACAAACGTTGCTGTCCTTGCTGATTCACTTGAATATGAGACATATGAGTTTGGAAAGACTTTTGTGTTTTGTTATGATACCTTTTAACAGTTCATGTGCAGAATATACAAAAGAAAACTATGTGGTTGGAGGTTACTGCAATGAATTTATGCTGGTGTTATGGATTAAATGGTAGCTTTGGTTGTTCTGATTTGTAAGAGCTTTATCACAGTAGTAGCTAGTAAGGTGCCAGCCAATCTGAGAAGCATCTGGCTGCATAAACTGCTGCTGGAAAGGTATAACTAATTTTATTTGTGTTGTGACTTCTTTTGTTTCCATCTTTTTTTTCAGAGTATTCCATTCTTCATTACTTTCATTGGGCTGGAATTTGCTGTCAGCTGGATTCAGAAGCGTAAACTATCGGGTCGTATTAATGATGGCATAAGTTCTCTTTCCTTAGGTATCCTGTCTCGACTGCCAGAGTAAGTATATGTATACAATATTAAGATTGCTTTTTAATCACTTAGAAGGAAGAAAAGAGAAATATATATTGAAGTTGTTATTGATAACCCAAAATGATTAAACAAGGCATCTGGATCTTTCTTTATGCAACTTAATTTTAGCTAAGTGTGTAAAGCCTTTCTAATCTCTAAGGCTAAATATGATACTTGGAGAATATTGTTCAGCTCCGATTCTGTTCATCTGGCTGTCACCTTTTGCCAGTTTTGGGATTTCAGCTGACTTGACCATATCTTATGTTAGACTATATGTTAAAATCTGAGTTTTCTTTCGTTAAAATACAGAAAGAAGATAATAAAACAAAACCGACAATCCAGGTCTATTATTTTCATTAGCCTTTAAAAACAAAATTCTGTGCATATAACCAGATTGATAGAATTGCGAATATGCATGTGATCCAAAGTTCTTTGAATGCAGTCATAATCTTGTGTTTGACTTCAATGGAATTGAAGAATTTTTGGAAACATGACCATCCAATCTACTCTCTGATGTAAATGCCGTAAGATTTACCTGAATTAGTTCACAGTGAACAGATTTGTATTTTAAACAAACAGCCACTGTGGGTTAACTGTGGATTCCAGTAAGAGGGAATATAGCAAATTCTTTATATAAATATCTCCAAGTGTTTTTCAGAAGCTCTAATTACTTGTAAGGAATATCATGTTTGAGATCTGCCTTTGCATGATATGAGCTTCCAGATGATAGATTTTATTACATCTTTTTGGATGAGATTACATTTCTATTCCCCATGTATGAATTCGCAGATGACCATCAAATTGTATACAATCTCTTCATTATATGAAGAAAAGTTTTTATTATTTGAGCTTTACTATATGGTATATTTGCAAGTCTTTTAATTATTCCCGCAGTTCTTTTTCTGAATTCTCTGCAGTTTTTCAGCCTTCTTAGTGTTGATGTCTCAAGTGCACTCCATATTTCAGAAATACTACATCAGTGCCAAATAATGAAGTCATTTGTTCTCTATTTCTACTTGTTGTTCTTCCCTTTATACATCCCAGATCCTTTGAGCCATTCTTCATCCCTGAATACTTTTTTTGATTCTGAGGCTTACATTCCTCATTCATAGGCACTATGTTCTTATATTTGGCCATATAGAAATACATGGATTATACATTTGGTCCTCCTGAAATAGCCTGAATCCATGAAATGTTGTCTTTGTTACTTAGAGATCCCTGGTTTTTGTCATTGCAAATTTTATTAGAAATCTTTTCCTTCAATCCAGTACATAGTATGGCCAGTCTTCGCGAACGAAGATTTTGGGAAAGGTCTTTTACCTTTCCAGCCTGCGCAATGGATTTTTTAGGTGAGACACAGCATGCGCTGAACTGAGCCCACCCTTTAATCCTAAAGTTCATCTGCCGGGGCCAAGCGAGCTTGGACAATGGCAGTGAGGTCCTCAGGACGTAGGTTTGTTTAGAGTGACCTTCTCATAGATGGATGGCCTCACAGGGCTAACGGGCTCCATCTGCCCGGGGGACCAGGAATTGAACCTGGGTCGCAGCGGTGAGAGTGCCACATCTTAACCACTAGGCCACCAGGGGTCCCACCTTCAATCCAGATTCTTGATAAAAATACATTAAAAGAGCGCAGCAACAATAAAAAAAAATAAAATTAGCCCTTCTGGCTAGTAGCACTCATTGTCTGAAATGTGTAAACACCCACATTGTAATCTATTGAATGTTAGATATTTAGTTAATTTTTTTAAGCTTTCTAATCAATAAAAATTTTGACAAGGTCCATTTGGTACAAAGACAATTCCTGATGGTTATGTTAGTTATCAGTAATAAATATCATGGATGAAACCTTTTAAGGACACTCTGAAACTCATCAAATATTGGAAAATAAGAGGCATGAGCTTTCAACATGAAAAATATTCAAACATAAAGTAATATCTAAGTTATTTGAGAATTTTGTGAAGCTATTTTTGCAGCTAGTGTTCAACCTGTATTCAAACCATTTTGTTGCTCTTAATCACTTGTGAGCATGATCTGAAAGGAGCAACATTAAACTTTTCATTATGTTTTAAGCTGTGATAAGTATTTATCAATACATTAGATTTGTGTGGACCAACACAACTCTGATACAGCTTCTTCTAGTGTGCAAGAAGCTGATATTGAAATAGTTCAAATGTTGCTTCTTCAACTTAACCCAAATTTTCTACACTTGATGGGTTTACCATTCTAAACATTTACCTTTTTTTTTCTGAAATATTCATAACTAAATTAAATAAAGGGACTGAGATACCCGTAAAGTAAGTTTGAATGGTTTTGCAAGGCCTTTCGGCTTGAAGAATACTAAAACACTTCAGATACACTCTTTCCTAGAAGAAATGCTTGCTAAGAAAACTAGCACTGTGTGTGTGGAACGCAGCTTTGCAAGGTGCTGAGTACTTTTATTATTTTGGCACTCAGTGCTTTGCAGAATTTGGCTTGCAGGCTGTGCAGTTTTCTTTTGCAAGGTTGTTTCAACTGAGTGAACAGAATGATCTTTAAGGACTCAAAGTTTGCAGGATCAGGCAAATCTGCAAGATCAGTACACTTATTTATTGCCACACCAGCAGAAGTCTCTTCCAGGTCGCTTGTGCAGTTGTCATGTCTGGAAATACAAGACCCTCCTCAGTTCATTCCAAAAAAGAGACCTTTAAAACTTTTAGCTTTTTGGCTGAATGTTAAAGAAGCTGGCAAAATATAGGCTTCCTAAATTATTTAATCTCATGTTAATATCACAATTCTAATGATGACTGCTTAGTGTAACACCTCTTTTGTAAGTAAGAGGAGTTGTGAATAACTGACTGGCTAAAAAGGCTTGAACTGAAAAAAACAGAACAGTTTACCATTCTGTCTTCTGCTTCCATGGTGTGAAAGAACTGGGTCAGAAAAAAAAGGACAAAAAATAGCACAGGCAAAATCTGTTGCTAAGACTTTCACTTCAGTCTTTCCCTTTCAGGCAGAAAAAAGGTAGGGAAAGCTGACAGTAACTGCTAAAACAATATTTCAGTAGAACCCACAGCATCAGGGGAAATAGTAGTGCAAATCATTAACAGCTGAAGGTTAGATTAACACACCATTGATTGTATCCTCTCCCAGGGACTAATTTTCATTTTCTCAACTAGCAGCAATGGTTTGCCACTTCCTTAAAAAAATCTGTGGTTGAGTCTAAAATGGTGGGCTTCAGTCTATTAGTTAAAATGAAGCTTCAAATGTGTCATTGCAAAGAGGTCTTTACATTTAATGAAAAAATTAGGAGTCACAAACCAGATTCAGCCTCTAAGTATTTTTTTCCATTTCACAGTCTGTATAACAGAAGTATTGTGTATCTTGAGGGAAAACAGTATTTATTTAGTGTTTCATACCTAGTTGTTGAGAAAGTGCAAATCATAAATTGTTGATATTTGTATGCCAAATATTAAAAATGTAGGTACAAGAGGAAAAGTCTAATCATCCAAGGCAATGTGTTTTGTTTTCAGGCTTATTAGACTCAACAGCATGTAGTAAGTTGAATTGCTTTGTATGTACACATCATCTCTTATAAAATAGCTCATACATTTCTTGAATATAATTTTCTCTGCCTTAATGCATTCTATGCATTCCTCTGCATGTATGAATACTAAATGTTAAATGCAATGAAAAGTAATTTGGGGGAAAGGGAGAAACTTGAATTAGTAAGCTTATTCCCAGCATCCTAAATGTTGGTGGTTAAAAAATTTCTGAGAACTTTTATTCTAAATAAATAAATAACTTTTCTAGCTAACCATTGCCAGGAGACTTTAAATGCTGCTGTAAAAATATTCTCCCAAGAGAAAGTTTATTTTGGGTATAAATATCTACTATACAAGTATGTGCATTATTTCATATTGACCCAATTCTTCTTTTAAAGCAGCAGAACATAAATCAAATCAAAAAAAGTGTTGGGGGGATAACTGAGGTAGGTACATTTTCAAACTAGTTGGGAAAGTCTCCATTCTTTATGTTCATGCTCAGTTGCCTATTTTTAGTGTTCAGCTCTGCAATACAATTCAACAGGGTATGAGTGTTCATATATATAATGTCTAACACAGTTTGGTCAATCCAGTCTGCAATGAACTTCTTAATTTCTAAAGAGAACATTACAATCTGTATACATTATTTACTTTGATTTTTGAATCAGAGGAAGTTAGATTTCTCTGAAGTGTTGAACATGAGAATGGAATGAGGAAATGCTTTTTGATTGGTTATTACTATTGTGTATCTTAAGATATCTACACATCAGCAATAACTGAATCAAAGGAGTATAAATCCTCTTTCTGCTGTAGACCAATGTATTCAGTTTTTTTACATCATTTGGATTTTAAATAATCTTTTTTTCAGAAGCTGGTTTGAAGAGGCAGTTTCATGTAGATTTTAGACCAGCAATGTTGGTCTAAATGAAGCACCTTTGACTGGCTGATACTTCTGGTTGCTCTTTCCTCCCTTTGTACCTTTGCTCTCCTTTTGCCAGCATCAGCATTTGTGTTGCCCTGTGGTGAAGTGGCCTAGGAAGCAGGTCCAGAACCTCCCCATCAGAGTGGGGGAGGCTGCATCAATTCTTACTGTGTCTTTGCAAAATCTTGTGCTAGCACAAGAAATGGGCTTGGAAAAATGCAGACAGGGTCACAAGACAAGAAATTCTCAATGCGTTTGTAGCATTACTGAGTTATCTGCTTTATAGCATATGTAAAATTGTAATCTGAAACCAAAGGTTTTCAATTTTTATTAGTAACAACATGCAGAGCTGATTAGCATACCCTCAGTTCAAGTTGGTGCAAGCTGTTCACAACCCTGTGGAGCCAGCAGTGTCCTGACAGAACAAAAAATAATTGCTTGCATGGATTTATCCATTTAAAGTATGTGCTGGTTTCCTGAAGTATCTACTAGATACTTCATGTGTGACTATGGAAAATTATAATCTCATAAATTAGTGATTG